TAGATTATGTCGACGCCAGAAAAGATGTCAAAGTATAATTATAAGGAACCCGCTGTCGGATTCACCGAAAAATTTTGCACCTAGCGCCCAATTTTTATCTAATGTAGTGCTGCGCGGCAAAAGTACCTAATTTTCTAATGCAAAGACGCCGAATGACGCTCTCCAGTTATCTAATAATGTTAAAGATCGGCTGATAGGTATTAACATCTGGGATAGCTGCAATGTGCTTGATAATATAAAAGAAGCGGAAAGGAACGATAAGAATTTGCGACTTCTGATTGATTATCTGCATGATGGGATATTATCATCGAATGAGAATATTTCGAAGAAACGGCATGGAATCGCAAAATATTATAAAGTAATTGATGGTAGACTTTATCGCCTACGACGTTTTGACGAAGAGCAATCAAACCGTTTCAATTATAGTCAAAATTTGTTAGTAATACCAAAAAAAATCAAAAATTATGGATTTACTACATTTTGCTCACGATCAAGCAGTTTCAGGGCACTTCGGTAGGCGGAAAACTCTACATCGTTTAACTTCTCGCGTTTATTGGCAGGGAATGCGAAAGGATGTAGAGAATTATATCCATGCATGTGATGCATGCTAGCGTTTTAATACTAATACCCAAAAGCTTGCTGGTAGGATGACCTGCAATGTGGTACACGAGCCGTGGTATACTATTGGTATAGATATCACTAGTCCGTTACCCTCAACAAAAACAGGCAATACCCACATTTTAGTGGTCGTCGACTACTTTACAAAATGGGTGGAATTATTTCCATTGCAAAACACGCGTTCTACTTATATTGCACAAATACTTTTCGATGAAGTCATTTGTCGTTTTGGATGCCCAGTAAAGATCATCTCAGATAACGGTCCGCAATTTATTTCGGAAGTATTCGAAGAAACTCTTCGTATTCTCCAAATAAATCATCGCCGAACTGCCTTATATCACCCGCAAACAAATCCATCAGAGCGAGTGAATAATACACTCAAAACCATGATAAGAGCTTACGCTCAAAGTGATCGACGTGCCTGAGATGTAAAACTTCCTCAATTGGCTTTCGCTCTAAGGACGGCGATAAACGATAGCACTGGAGAATCTCCTGCCTTCTTGATGTTCGGTCGCGAACCTCGTTTACCGATAGAAAATAGCACCTCGTTGTACTATTTGGTTCAATAAATACATCTGATGATCATCCAGCCAATGATCGAGATGTTCGGGTCTATCGTGACTTACAGCTAACCTTTTACCAGCATTTAATTTTGTACGAGAGCATCTCGAAATTGCACAACTAAATCAGCGTTCATCCTACGACAGACATCGTAGAGATGTGCATTTTGAGTTGGGCGATCTTGTGATGATGGCTATCACAGTAGGTAGTGCACTCGGTAAATGGAAAGCACCTAAGTTGGATCCTCGATGGTTGGACCATTTAAGATTACGAAAAAGATTACACCCCTAAATTATCAGTTAACTTCCTTAGCTGATAATCGGGTGGTGGAAGTAGTACATGTTGAGCGCTTAAGACCATATTACTCTCCATTTCAAATTCCTTCTTTATAAGTCGAGATTAAGAAGTAAAACACAAAAAAAAGAAAAAAAATTGCGTGCATTATACCCGATTCCAAGTTATCGGAATAGATGAAACGAATTATATTTCGATAAGAAAAGGTAAAGAGTATGTTCAATTTTATGTGAGAAGTGACAGCAGAAAGACCTTATATGAATGTGTCACTTATCAACACTTCGCGCCGTTCATCCATTTTACTCTTTTATCGATATTGATCACATGCTTTCTTTTTCCTTTATTCCTCTCTCTTTTTCAAAACCAAAATAAAAACATCAAATATTGTCAATTGTGTAGCTAGTTTTATGTTTCCGAGTTGATAATTTCTAGTTTTATGTAACGCGAACAAAACCTTTTCTATAGTGTGAACGTTCGCAGTTTTTGGGAACTAGTTTGATTCGAGGTAGAATCTTCTCTCTCTAGGTAGGGAGGAGATGTAACGGTCGCGAAGGCCCCGTTACATGAAAACTGCGGAAAATACATGGAAATTTTAATTCGACTGTAAGGATCAATGAGCTTGTAACTATATGAAAAAATGAAACTAGAAACAGCTTGTAATACAGTAGCGACTTATTGAGTTAGACCTATGGCAGAATACAACGTAATTTTTTCACATGTGCGACTCGTTTCAACTCCATCTTTTGGTCATAAGCAGACCTCGATGTGGTATGAAAAACCTCAAAAGGATTCATTCCCTCAGGCCTTCGTTTCCGAGATATGGAATTGTTAAGCTATGCGTAAAAAAGATTTTTGCATCGTTCCATGCAGTGCTTATCTGTCTCCGATGAAACTTTTGAAAATGAAACTACCTATCGTTCCGAGAAAATAAAGTTCTGAGATATTCGATTCATAAGACGACCTATTCTGCGGTGAGAACTAAACCTCCTCCCATAATAGAAGACCATCTGGTCTTCTATTATGGGTCTTCTATTTTGTCGCTCAAGTCAAGTTCTAAAGCGTGGTCTTCTGTTGCGGTCAAATTTTGTCGCCTGCTAGTAGTCCAATAGTAACCTCACGTACTTGAAGTCCGTCCTCTATTAGAAGTCCTTTTTGGCGAAATTTTTTTGAAAATTCCCCTATAGGTATAGGGCAAAGGACTTCTAATAGGACCACTAATAGAAGACCACTGGTCTTCTGGGAGTTAGAAGACCATGGTCTTCTATTTGGCTTTCAAGTCATATAATCGGCAGTGGTCTTCTAATAGGGGATGGTCTTCTATTATGGGGGGGTTTAGATCGAATTCTTCCGGCGGTGCTTCTCGCGCGATCATGTTCTTTTCCCATCGTCTGGTCAACGGAAGAAGTTCTTACTCATTTTGGACTGTTGGGGAGGCCAGGCAGATGGAAAGCACCTATACGATCTAACCACGGGATGCACGGGACTTGAGATCCCGAACAAAACAACGGCCTTGATTCGGCCATGAAAGTGATTTCTCGTCGACTCTATGATCGTGTGCTGCTCGATGAACTTGATGTCGACATTAGTGAGCGTAATAACAACATCCATCTCATGTCTCTCAATCACAATCAACTATTTTCCGAAGTCCTCCGTCCGATGATCCGATATGCCTGGTACGCTAGTGGGTACACAGACACTCATCCAGAACTTTTCAAACTGTGGCCGAAGTGTGTTTCTCGTTCGATGGTGTAGTATGTACTGCAAACTCGTGCGATGCAGCCCCTTTCATCGGCTGCGGTTGGTGTCATACACCATTGTGTTTAATTCTTTTTTTTTTAGACTATCACTTTCACTGATTTTCTTCCGTAAAGTTTTGTGTGATTAAAATGGTACCACAAAGAAAACAGAGAATTGTATGTGTTCTATCAGCTGAGGGGCAGTGAGAAGCACCGCCGGAAGAATTCAATCTAGTTCTCACCCCCGAACAGGTCGTCTTATAAATCGAATATCTCAGAACTTTATTTTCTCGGAATCATAGGTAGTTTCATTTTCAAAAGTTTCATTGGAGATAGTTAAGCACTGCATGGAACTATGCAAAAAAACGGTTGCTTGGTGGTAGAGCTTGTATTAGTATCTTATATTTTAACCGTTTATATTCAAAAGTTGATTTATATAGCAATCGATAGCTTATAAAGAGAGGAATTGATTCCATATATTGCAATTACTTAAAAGTGGATAGTGTAAGGAAAAAAGCTTTACCATTTTACCACCATTTTCGGTAAAAGGGCATATTTTGTTAATTATCCAAAAAATAGAATATAGGCTCTGAGAATTTTTCTGATTAAGCAGTTATAATGAGCACGATTTGAAGTACCCAAATATATGCTTAGATACCACCTATGTCGCTTATTGGTGGAGAACAACGATTTTCAAGTTGACCCTAATCAGAGGTATATGCCACCTCTACCGGCCAAGGGTATAACGTTTTCGGAAAAGCAAATATATTTCAATAGTCACGAAGGATAGTTGAATAAACGCTGAAAGTTTGATCGAGTTTGAAGAACATTTTACATATGCGGAAGATTTCTGGTGGAATTACCCGATACACTGTTAGATAGAGCATAAAAAGACGGTTATATAGCACTAATTAGTGTTGAGTGTCGGTTTAATTAACATGAAAATATCTAACCTGGGGAAGAGACGACATCACCATTTTTCAACAACTAATTTTTAACAATCAGAGCATGTTGGAATTTTTTTCGCTAGATAAGTTGATTAGAATAGTGAGTTCTATCTATGCTAAATTTCCAGACTTATATCTGGTAAGATGATGAAACATTCTTAAAAACAATTTTGCTGTAGAGAGCCTCGGGGGCCCTCAAAGCGATTTAAAACATTTTTTAAGCTGATTCTCATCAATAAGTCGACGAGATCTACTAGTTCTGAACGTTTCATCTGATTCTGTGCTGCTCGCCGTAAAATGTTGTACGCTTCCGACAGAATTACCTGCTTCTTCACAAGAAATCGTCTTGTAAACCCAGCACATTTCTGATATAATTCCGTCACGAAAATAGCGAATAACTCTCTTTGCCTTCTGCCTAATACCTTTGGGAAAAATGAAGTAGATATTTGGATTGAGGGTTTCGAGAGCTGTCAAACCATGCGTTTTGTTTTGTATTTCAGTGAATTTTTAGGGAAGAACACATACGTGCCGGAATTATATGCCAATTTCTCAACGAAAAATATACACACGAGGATATCATTTTTTGGGTGATTCTATTCACATACTTGTTTCTAAGAGAGATAATGTTCGTCAGACAGATGCTTTACGTATAAGAATATATCGAATATATTGTTTTAGATAAAAAGCCTTCTTTTGTTCTTGCACAGATCGACCTGGCCGACTAATCGCCATCCTCAACTTTTCTTCAAAATTCTGTTGAATTCTGAATTTGTTTTCATTCAGTCGGAGATCGTTTCTTTGAGATCAGGGAAAATGCTCAAAAGATTCGACGTTGTTTTTGCAAAGCCATTTTCTCCAAAATTGAAGTGAGTAACGAAAAGTACTGTTTCAGTTTGGCATTAGAGAAAAGGGTAAGTTAGGTTTTTCATAGAATCTGGTCTTTTTACAACATGACCGTTAACCGTCCGTTAACGGACGTCTCGGTTGAGCTGAGAATAGGAGAATGACGAATTAGAGGATGGAGGAAAGCTATTTTAAAACATTACTCTAGAAGCATTAAAATTATGGACTGTAAAAAATAAAGTATACCCGTAGATGTGTAAAAATCATAAACACACAAATACGAATTAAACTGGCGTGTTGTTTTCTAGGTGTGTAAAACTTTTTTTATATTTGCAGATGTGTAAATTTTGCCAGCGTATTTCTGGCACATCACACTGTACATTTCTCGATGTGCAAGTGTGAATCAAAGTGATACATACCATATCACTTGGCTGATACGAAATAGATAGATTATTAGAGTTACAAGTAGATATTTTAATACTGTGAATTTATCTATATAACAAAGTTTCAACCTCTTTTATTGAGGCCTTCTTCAGTGATAAGAATTGAAATAAAAAATATGAAAGTGAAAATGATTGAATTCTATTACATGTAACGTTAACTTGCTGCCAACAGGAGATTTAAAAAACTAGTATGACTACTTACAAAAATTTTTCCTTCCTAACCGCCTACTTTTCTTTTTCTTTTGTTTTTCTCTTACAATAGATATTCATTTTCTCCCCATCCCAAGGATAGAACCAAGATATGCTTATTCATACAAAAATTGAAGATAAAAAACGAGAAATAAAATATATATTTAAAAAAAATTTCTTTTTTTTCTCGATAATGAAGCACGACGGAGGAAATAAAGAAGTTTGATCTTAGATAGAGGCTTAGAAAAGAAAAGAATAGTAATTCGAATACAGAATTAAAGTATCTACTTGTAACTCTAATAAGTAATAATTGTATTTACCTTTCTGATATCATCAAACATGGCGTATTTTTTGAGATGATAAACATAATTTCATAAAGAGGATGACACAATAAAAGACTCGGGTCTTCTATTCTGTCCATAAGAATAAAGATTTTAGATCTTCTATTGTGTTCAAAAAAGGACGCTGAAAAAATTTTTTATGAATTTTGTAAGATTTATAAGCGGCAAGCTGAAAAATAGAGTGGTCTTTTATTTCAACTTTTACATTATGAATTCAGGGGGGTGGAGGGTCTTCTAATGTGTCCATCCCTTTAGATATATATATAATAAAAATCCGGTAATTTTCAATCGATTAAAGAAGAATTATTACAAAGGACTCTTACAAATTAATGCATGGTAATGATGATAAAGATAATGAACTATAGAAGAAAATATTGCTTGATTTTAAGTTTATTATATTTGGAAAGTCTTTTTGATTTGGCTCAATTGGAAAATGTGAATTTAGATTCATTGGAAAAATTGAGAAAAGCTTCAAATGAGTCAAACAATTCACTTATCGCTTTCTATTCGAATGCTAATTTTGTGTCAACAAAAAGTTTATTCAAAGGAATTAATTTCAAATATGTTTTAATTAATAACAACTCATTAATAATACAAGGCGTGAAGAATGGATCTTACATGGCTGGATGTTTAGTAGGACTTCCAGAAAAAGACAAAGCCGTTTTGAATGTTATAAGAAGTGGTATTATATCAGGTCATGCAATTTTTACATTACCCGATGTTTCAAGTGAATATCCACACGGCGCTGCTACTAACGTATCAAGAAAAGAATTTCGAAATGCAATTAATTTAGCCATTATGAAAGTTCAAGCACAAGGAATAGAGTTTGATTTAGCTGCGAAATATCAAGAGAATATAGTTGACGTGAGAACCTGTAAAATTGACAATACCGATGACTTTCCTATTCCAAATCTTAATGAAGCTACAGGATTACTAAAAACTGTATTACAAAATCGTACTATACTTATAGGCTCTTTTGGAGATTCAAACAGTATCGATTCCGATGAAGGTGACGAAGAATTTCCATTTCATTCAGCATATTTAAATGCGATCTTAGACCAATTTGCACAACTGCGTGGACCCGATGGTAATGCTTACGGAAGACTAAATATTGAACGAATTTATGCACGGTCGTCAACCGCAAATTTACTAAGAGGACGTGTCTATATGTCAGAGCCATATTTTGTTATAGACAATGTATATAGTGGTTCAAAAGAAAGTTGCAGGAATGATTCAGATTGTGTAGAAGCAAACACGGTGAGTGGCTATGAAAGTTGCATAAACAATACATGCGTAGGGTATACTCGTCCAGTTAGTGAAATATTCAAATTAAGTTGTTTAACATATGGAACAGAAAGTTTATTTATTACAAACAAACTTAATATCGAACATGTTGTGATAAATGAATCTAATATCAAGATATCTGGTGGTGTGTTGGCTGCACTTATCTTACTTACAGTTTCGTTAACGGGAGCAATTTTTCTTCTCGCTTTGATGGCTCTTAAAGAAAGAAGAGGAAAACCTCTATTTGGTTAAGGTATGTTGCTACCAAATGAATAATAAAAAGAAATAAAAACAATTTTTATTATAAAGATATTATACAGGATGGAAACCTATGAGAGCAGTAATTGTTTTCTTCTACATCAACTTAAGGGGTCTACATCAGCCCCCTAATATTTGGGTATGTTGTACAGTTTGATGGAACACGCCACAATATATCCCTTTAGGTGGTCACAAGCGTAAAAAAAATAATTGAGAGTTATAAAATTTCTTTTCCCATATATTTTGCTGGGAAATGTAAAAGAATTTTGGAAAAAGTTTTGCCAAAAATGCTACAAAAATAGTGTACGATGAAAAAAACTTTTCATACAAAAATTGTGCGCAATGGTCGACTGCGGGGCATAACGCTGTCTGTTTTTCAAAATTTTTTCCATATATTTTAAATATAAATTTGTTTGGAAATTTTATATTTTACAAAATTTAAATTTAAGTTTTTTCAAAATTTTTACTATATTATGCTTCGTTACTGCAGGATCTTTGGCAAGAGTTTCACATTGCAGTTAAGAGGGAGGTCCACACCCTCTGTAAGTGCCCTCAAACTATGTCAGTTTGAAGAGGACATCTGATTACATGTATCCTTAAGTTGTTTTATGAACTGGTAACTATTCACAGAGTTATTAATTAATTAAGGTTGAATTTTAATTAAAATATGAAGTCGTAGTCCTCATTTCCAAAAAGTTGCAGCTCAGTCAGAAATAATGTAGCAAAAGTCATTCATTCATTGCTTGATAGCCAATAGTCTGTTGTTATGGTATGATGAGAAAAATTTTAAGGAGAATTTATAATTAATCAATGCTAATGAATATTAATTAATATCACTGGTGTAACTTACACTTTTATTTGCAAATTAATGGTTTATTAGAAATTATGAAGTAACACATCATTTAACAGAGATTGTCAAGCGCTACAAATCCCTACTTTTGCCCTTTCACAACATTACCGATAAGCAGGTGGTTGTACCCGGTTTCAAACATCCGGGGTTTGTCAATAGAGCGGCCTAGATGTTTTTTAAATAACTTGGAAACAAAAAGAGTTAGAGAGTTGAAATTCCAGTTATTTTATAAAGGAGGCTTTACTCTCTCTTTACATATATTTTGTATTAAAAATCTTAGCTTTTCAGGTGGTGTACTTGACGGATTACAAGAGATGAGGCTATCGGATTCTGCAGTAGATTTTTAAGTACAACATAACAGCTAGATAGCCTAAAGTATCCTCTACAATTCCGTATAAAGCCGACCTATTTATCTGTTATAGTCCTC